GATAGATAGATAGATAGATAGATAGATAGATAGATAGATAGATAGATAAAAAAAGATGAAGAAGATGTGAGCTAAGAAATATTTCACTGCCTCAAACACATGAATGGTATCCTCATTATGCATTGCACTAGAGAAAGCATTTAGAAGAAAGAGAACTCCTGACCAAGTGAATCAGCTATAGTTTCAGACACAAATGAGAGGAGAGGAAATGGAAAATTCACCGTCTGATATGTAGGATCCAGCTGTCACCCATGACTCACGCACAGTAGCAGAACCTCCTGGACCCGCTGGCTCCCCTCACCTCCACCAGGCTGCAGGGTAAAACACTGAGTTATGTCTGAGCGACGTCATCTCAGCCTCAGCACAGCTGGTCCTTACACTGTCAGCCTGGAGCTGTTTTCAATTATACAACCTATTGGGCTTTTTTGAAACCGCAGTAGTTGACCGGGCCCATTATAAAAGCAGTGAAAAAATGTGTTTTAATGCAAATAAACTCCCATCCAGTTCAGAACTCCAGTGCATCTGGACCTGCTTTGGATTATCTGTGTTCTTAGAACCAGCACTTCTGTTCATGTAAGGTTCAAAACTGCAGCCATCTTTTTGTTTTGTTTTGTTTTTATGCATGCCTTTGGTCGCTCTACTGCTGCAGAGTTTTTATATCAAAGCTGGAAATGACTTGAGCAATAAAAGTGATCCTAACCACTGCTTACTGGCCCTCTAATCAACCGGTATGCATTATTATGTCTCGAGGGAAAGGTTTTACTACTGCTGCTGCAGGTTTGGCTTTTTTTTTTTTTCAACTTTTATTGTCATTACACTGTTACAAGTACAAAGCAACAAGGAATATATCTTTCTATGTTTTTACATTGCAAAAAATTATTTAAAATGTGCATTTGCCCTTTATTTGAGCAGGTTAATAGGATGATCTGCCTAATGAAGGGGCTATATTTGGCCTTAGAATAGGATAAATAGATATGACACACTTAACATAATATAATAGAATAATTGTTTTCTTATATTAAAATATAGACAATCCTATTACTGTATGTTGGATTACTTAAACATTAATTCAAAGCAATGGAAAATAAATTTGTTTTTAGAAAAACTTGCTCACGTAGATTTAAGCTTTGCAGTGCAGACTCAATTTAAATCTAAATAAGTCATTTTTCTTGATATAAGTGAAGTTTCTATAAAGTTGAAGTTTGTTTTTTTTTTTCATAATAAGAGAAAAACAACTTGATTACCTTATTTCAAGTGCTAAATATCTATTTATCTTCATTTAAGGGTGAAATACTGATACAGTTGGCAGATTATCTTACTCTACTTATTTTCTCAAATTAAGGACAAATATTCCTATTGAAGGAAACATGTATTTATTTTCTGGATGCATTTGCAGGTGGAATCTCAACTATGACAAAAAAAAACTAACTTTTCAGAGTATTTATTGCTATATTTTGTTTTTTTGATTTTGTTCTTTTTGTTCCTTCCATATTATGACAACCTGGCTGATCTTAGTGTTCTGATTACACATTCTGTTTGGGTAGAACAAATGTATCCTGGTCTTCACGGACCAGGAAGGTGCACTGTTGTTTGCCTAAGGGAGACGGTTTGAGGACAAGCAGTGCCTTGTAATGATGCTATCTGTTCCTGGCGCATGCACCGCTGCAGGTTCAGTCAGGAGATGATAATAATACGCTGTGTAAACACATGCTTGCAGGACCCACACAGTCATCAAATAAAAGTTTCTCCTCAATGTTTTTGTCTGAAGGAATATCCCTTTTTATTGCCCTCACACAAAAAGATCCCCCTCCTTCCCTCACTGTCTCATATTTCAGTTTCCCTTTCCCTGGTCATTGACCTGTGTTCAGGTCAGTGGTTGATGGGTCTCAGGGGGGCTTAAGCTCTATAACCGACACACAATGAGAGCAAACTGAAGTTGAAAGCTCCAAAATCAGCTTTATGATCCAAAAATTCAGGCAATCCCTTCGCAGCTGTTGTTATCAGTGAATCTTTAATCAATTAATGTCCGGCCTTTCCAGTGGAACTGACAGACAGCAGCAGGCTCTTCATGTTGGATCTGGAATCTTCTGGGTGAGAACATGTGCATCTGCTTGAGTCGAAGCGAAATGTTTGAGCTGCTCGCTCTTGATAAAAGCTGAACTAAACCGGTCGGCGTTTCTGTAAATATGCATGGATTAAGCTAGAGGGGAAAAAATCTACATTAAGTTTCCATATGATGTTATTAGGGGAGTGTTGGCCTAGTCGTTAGAGCAGTGCGCTTGTGCTCTGAGAAGGTTGCAAGTACCCGGTTCAATCCCCACAGCCTCCACTCTCCGTCTCTGAGTAAGACTGTTAACTCCACACTGCTCCCCAGGTGCCGCCCAATGTGAGATCCATAAAGTTCAATTATGATTAGAAAAGCTCCGTGATGGGTCAAATTTTTTGTCATGTTTAAAGTTTGTGTATTGCTGTTTTATTGTAACCACAAGATTTCTCTTTTTCATTTTTTAAACAAAAAATACATTTATACATTAAAAATACATTATATTTTTCCATTGTTGTTTCAAGCAAAGACCACATTTCATAAATGGAAATAATAAAAGTGCAATTCTGAAATGAAACTTAGAAAAGCATATTAATCAAAAAACTTTTTTTCAAACTTTATTTTTGCTACTTTTTCTTTTACACGTTGAGTTTTAGGAATTGCATTTATTTAAAAGCGTGTTTTACAGATCACATTCTCTCCAACTCAGTTCCAATTAGAATGTTGTCGCTATCATCCTCAGACCAACACCCTTCCCCAAAAGTGAAGAAAACGTGTTCTGGAAAATCAGATTTAAAAAGATTGCAATTCATTAAAACACATCCTGAAAAAGAGTAATAAAATTTGACTATTTAGAATAGAAAAAATACATTAAAAAAAATGAAAATAATAATCAGAGAAAACAGCCAAGGTTATCTTAAAATCCTTTTCTTTCATTATAAAACCAAAAACCTGAAAGTGATGATATTAGCATGTGTGACACAGAGTACATGTCCCAATATAATGTATTTGTAACTCCAAAAGGTGGGCTTTGCCTATACTTTGTGTAATGCAAAGGATTGAGGGCAATCATATAGCTCCTAGCGGTGGTTAGGGGCATCAAAAGGTCCCTATGCTGACTGCAGTGGCGCTAGGAAGCATCCTGCTTCCTAGTCTTAGCTCCTTCTTAACTGCCAGAAATATTTAGATTGCACTTATTATTATTATTATTTATCAGTTGCAGAGTTTTTTTAACATGCTGGTCTTCTGTGATATAGAGTTTTGGTTGTTCAATCAGTTTTACTCTATTTGGACTTTAGTGCACAGGTACTTTAATTGGAACATATTTACACATCACAAAAGCAAGTACAAGAAAAAACAAATTGCGCTTTAGACCCTTTGAGTTTGCATAGTTACATTACAGCTTTGAAAGTTGACCTTATGGTTCAACCCACTGCTCTCAGTCATGAGTAACCAGTGTATTCGAAACATGAGACAAATTTCACTTTTATGTTATTCTGACCTGCGTAGCTCATGTACTAACGTATTTTTTCTGTGAAATCTTAGCCATGACCTTTGATGACAGAGGTCAGTAAGAAAAGTTGTCTGGTGAAATTTACACCCTGATGGTCAGGACTCAGTTCACTTTCAAGCAAGATTTGGTTCACTTTCGGCTCAGCAGCAAAACCATAAAATAAAATTTTAAAAAGCTGAACCTCTACAGCAGTCCTCCATCTCAAATCAGAACATGACATCAATAAGGTACAAAGTGACATCAAGCAAAAAATAAAGGGAGTTTGACGTTGCTAATGATTTAGGAAGGGATCATGTCCCATCAGGCCTCAGCTGTCGCTTGTTAAATTCCATCCAGTCAACAGGATGAGTTAGAGCTCAGCCTGGGAAGGACAGTATGAGTGTCTCATTGTCTTAACCCCTGGATATAGATATTTCACAAATGGACACCCCAGAGGCTAATGGGATTCACCCAGAGTCAACTTGCATTCAAGTTTTGCCTTTAGCTTATATCTCTCAGTGGACGGTCTAAGGACAATGAACCAAGAAACGCGTCAGTTAAGTTACTGCATACAGAACAGTCCATGTTAGCTCGATATCTGCTCCTCAGATCGCTGCTAAATCCTGGTATTACCCCGTCTAAGCTTTCCCACAAACATGAAAGAGACTTATGTTACCATCCATTATAAAAAAAACGGGCAAAGTTGCAAAGCCAAGGAATTCTATACACTTACAGTACAGTATATACATTTAGGTCTATACAGCTAAGCTGAAGTTGTTCCCTTTGCCACAGCAGGGATGTAGGGCCTCACTAATACAGATATTTCAGTTTAACAGGAGCCTTGACCACAGCCAGGCACCTGTCGCCTCGACTCAGATGTTGGTTTGTTTCGTGTCAGGCTCTTCTTCCTATCTTTTCCCAGAAGACTAAATCCTCCCAGCTGACACCTGAATACCTCATGAATCTCCTTCCCGTTCCCATGCCCCCCCACGGCTGGGGGCTGAAGGGGATCAGGAAGTGAAAAAAAGGTGAATGAGTGATAGGTTTAAGGTTAAAGGAACCTGATTATATTAGTAGAATGTAGAGGAAAGATAATTATTTATCCTGGATGAAGTTTGGAAACCAAGGGGACCATTGCTCTGGCTCTAGTTGAATGGTTGAACGTTTTTTTGTATGATGCAGCTTTTGTGTAATTGTCTGCTCTTAACCACTGACTGGTGAATGCAGTGAAGCTTCACCCAGCAGCTCAATGGTAAAACCCTAAATGTGACTTAAAATAATTTTATTTTCACATAGATTTTCTGATCTTTATAGCTAAAGAGTAAAATGAAAGGGTGTTAAGCAGAAGGCAGACCCACATCCTCACCCTACCATCACCAGGGTTAATTCTCGATAATCAGAATGATATAGAGGGTTGATGTTGACGTAACGGGACATGCATTCCAAAATAAAATCAACAGAATTGATTTTTTTTTTTGTTTGAGTTAATTCAAAGTGACAATAATATTGCAGCTACTCATGGGCAGTTTTTCAACCAGTTTTTATAGGTGTTGATAGCTGCAGGTAGGAAGGAACTTGTGGATCGTTCTTGCACCGGATCTGGAGAAGCTCCCTACTTAAGATGTTTTGCTGTTGTTTAACAATGTGATGAGGAGGATGCTCACTGTTGTCCATGATCTTCTTCACTTTATAAAGAATTCTTCTGTGTGGAATAATCTGTGGAGGTTCTACAGAATTCTAAAGCCTTGGAATATTATTATTTTCCCATTTACTTTCCTTTATTAGAAGAAATCATTATTTCATGTAGTAAAGTTCACTTTTATTTATGTGGGTTTTTGTTTTCTGGTGTTGGAATTGTTTGAAGATCTAAATAATTTAAGTCTGACAACCAGAATAGATTTATAAGGATCCACACACCTTTGTATCTTCTTGCTTAATCTGTGGCTTAGAATATAACCTGTTAAGTCTCTACCTGTGTTAGATAAAATCTTAAACATTCAACAATAGAAAGGATTACGACAAACTTTTTTTTATTTTATCTTACTTCCTTTACTGATTTGGCCCTGCAGAAGATAGTGATGGGAGCTGAGAAGGTCAGTAGAGCAGCCTTACCATCAGTGCAGGACCAGAGGGCTCCGATTGTTGTCAGAGACGCGTCATACCCTCTAAAGGAAGGAGTAGCACTGATGCCATCAGGAAAACAATATCCAAAACAACCAGACACATTCTGTAGCCTCAGGCAATTAAAAGGCAGAGCTGCTGTTCACATTTTATCAAGTCATCTATGTTTTTTCATTTAGTTTCACTTCTTTTTCTCTGTTACTGATCTGAAACGATGCTTTCCTTATGATATATGAAGGAATAAATCTCTGCTTGTGTTTGAAGCTAAGGGAGTTTTAAAACCCAGAACAGTCTAAAGGAAAAGAAAGAAGGCTGACCAGAGGAGCCCATCACACAGTAGGAACCAGAAGAAAATGGCTCCGTTATAAATCACTCTAGATATGACAAGGGCTTTTGTTATGACTTTTGGCTTTTTTCACAGGCTGTTACCACTAATGATCCTTCAGGGATGGCAGATATTTGGGGATGGCTGCTTCTCTCATCACCCAACAGTTAAGCTCTCGGCCTGCTAGTTACTCTCGCTCAGCCAGCGATTGTATTTACAGCTGCTCTGAGCTTATAGCCACACACCTCCTCTCCCTAAAAGAGGAGACACCAACCGAACAATGAAAATGACTGAGGTTTCCTCTAATTCACTGGATATTTTTCCTTTTGCTGCACCCATGGGGAGGTGGTGTGCAGGGTGGGATGGAGGTAGCCTACTGTACCGTGCGCTCATATTTGTTCTCTGCTGATACGGGTAGGACAGGGGTTAGCTGGATTGTTTTTGTTCCTGGTTGTAGGACTCAGCGCAAACCTTACACACATAAACATACACATTTTTATGCCTGTATGGTTACGCCGTTTTTGTGCGGGTCCATCTGTGTGTCGGAGGTTTCAGCCACACAGGAAGTGCTACTGCAGTCAGTGCAGCTCTCCAGAGAGTAGTTTCAACAAGCTTGTCAACTTTAAAGATTCAAGCTTTCACAAAGACAAGAATTTCTCCATCATTCGTTGCTAACTGTTAACAAAACTTCTGTTTTTTTCTTTTCTCAAAAGGAAACATAATGTGAGAATGATGGCAAAAAAAACATTTAAGCTCTTAAAGGTAGAGTGGAGGATGTTCTTTTTCCGGGTGGATCATCAAAATTTAGTGGTCCTACTAACTGTCAATCATTTTGGTGATAAGTTTATGTAAGGCTGTTCTACGTGCTTGTCCCGATTTTCCCTTACCGGTGGTGAGTCTGAAACTGTGGAAAAAATGTTAATCTTCTTTTGGAAAGACAGCTTTTATGAGCGATGCAAACAGCAACTTTTAAACAGAGCATTTACAAGGAGAAAGGGGCTTGTGCACGCTCATGCTGGAGCGGAAACAGGGTTGTGCATTTGCATTTTTTTATTCTAAAGTGGCCTTTAAAAAAATCGACAAAATTCTCCACTATACCTTTAAATAAAACCAAAGATATGAATTGGGTTTGTAAAGATTGTGAACTGTGAAGCTTGGAGTACCGCCACGCAGGCAGAGGCAGCACTGAGTATAATATATGAAAGAAAAAGATACAATAAAAAAAAAAAAAAAAACATGAGTTTCACAGTAGGTGGGGAGGGTCTGAACAGAGACAACTTTGCATGGCACCAATATTCACCCGTAAGGGGTGAAATCTAAAAAACAGGAATATATACAATGAAAAAGGCAGAGATCATGTATGGTAAGCAGGTTAGCATGATCAGGTGTTGGCAGGAAACCATCTGGCTGATGAGTTAAATTAGATACGAGGTAGTGAAGAATAAATTAGAAAGCATACAAAATAAACACCTTAACATTAGAACCCGTATGGCATACCCCAAACAGCAAAACTAGTAGCAGGCTATATTATGACCAAAACACAGAATCCCACAAGTGAAGGGAAAACTCACATCAGACATAATGACCTGAAAAAAAAAAATGAAAGAAAGAGGTCTTCAGAGACAACATCAAAGCTACAGTGAGAAAAAGAAAATCAGCATCTCAAAGAACCCCAAATAATGACAAAAAAAATTTCTTCTCTGACTATAAGATGGCTGTAAGAGACACAGTGACTGGCTGGGTGTAAACAAGTCCAATAAGTCCAATCTATAGATGCAGCATTATTTTATATCAATACAATACAATTATAATCTGGGGGAAAAATAACCTTGGTTGGGAAGAGTTTCATGTTAGCATCTCCTTTTGTTCAGAAAACCTTATTTAACATTGTGTAAATGCCCCCTGTTAACAACATTGCCTTTGTTCAAGTGTTAAAGGAAGCTAAGTGATCTCTGCTGTTTTGTTTTTCTCTTAACCTCTCGTGCATATTGGATATTGACTGATGAACGCAAGTATCCCTTGCTTCAGGAAGATAAACTCTAGCTATCATGTGTTGCCACCAAAGAGCAAATATAAACATTGATCTTTCTGCACGCAGACAAACTGGTCTCCTGAGTGCAACCTGTGTGTATCTGGAGGATCCGTGTCACCATTCTGGTTAACTGATATTTACATTGAGGGTTAAAAAACCTGCAGGTGACATGAAAGCCTCCCTAGCTCATGGAGTAAAGTAAAAAGTAGAATAGAAATAGTGTGAGCACTGCCAGCAGAGAAACTGGCCTACCAAAGATTAGCCTTTAGCATCTACAGTGTATTCTGATTCCTGCTTTATTCCTTAGAATAATAAAAAAATAAGTCAGAACCAGAAAACCTTTCCTGGGAAAAGCTGGCAATGTGTAACTACTAGGATGGGATCAAATTTTTGTCTGTGTACAAGTTGTGTCAAACTAATGTAGCAAACCTTGATTTGAAAACTATGCAATATAGAAATATTAAACTTTATGGGGTTTGAAGCAGAGGATATAGCAGCAGGCAGACATTTTGTATGTTATTGTATCTGGATCTCCATGATTGAATGATGCAGACATGACCAAATGCAACAACACTCCATCTTTCATATATTTAATGTTTGGTATTACTGTACATTATTGCAATGCAAAAAAAACACATGTTCTACTGATAAAACAATTACTTAGAGACTAGGTTTAATATTATTATTTAAATTCTTCTGCTTTTATCATTTTATGTGCTACTGTGGCTCAAATCTGTATTTCCATTGATGGAAATATTCGGTTTATATCTTGTATGTCAGATTATCTGACTCTATTGGTTTGTTTGGCCTTTTCAGGGCTGTGTGTATGGAGAAAACCGGACCTCCATCCAGTGTACCACGCCTTCCCTAGCTAAGCTTGGCCTTCAGCCTCCAGTGGTCACCAAGGTGGCGTTTGTCTTGGATGGCTACCTAACAGATCAGAAAGATCTGATCTACGTGGAGGACCCGCTGTTCCAGGACCCTAAACTCACATCTAAGGACAACAAGAGCATTGTGGAACTCAAGGTGAGGGTGCTTATACTGTATTTTGATTCAGTGAAATAATGTACACCTACTCTCAATGTCTTTCTGGGTTTTTTTTTTCACTGTCCTTCTGATGTTGCAATGATTCAAAAAGATTTCAAAAACTTGAAATTTTGCTTTCTAACCTAAACCCAACCTAAACTTGCTCAATACCCTTTCTGTTGTCCAATTTATCCTCACAGTTACCAATTAAAGAACATCTCAATTTTCAAATAAACTTTTATTTTGGTTCAGAGGCTACTTACAAACATCTCAAAATATCCATAAAAATGTCTTGATGGTTTCAACTGTGTAAAAAAAAAAAAAAAAGATCAGTGACCCCGTAACAGGTGCAAAACAAGAAATACTGCTGAAAATGTCATGGATGTTGAGTAAAGAAAATCCGGATTTATGAGCTGTGGCAAATGTCAAAAGCAGATGCACATGCAAATCAATGCCAACACTACCAAGAGTTTGGAACGGTGTTGTCTGAGTCTATAACTGCCATGAATGCAGATTTCCACTTAGGAGCCAGGTTGAAGTTCACACCCGAAGGTCAGTGGCCTGCACCTCACAGTCCTCGCACTGATTCACACGTTCAGGTCAGCCGAGGAAGGAAACAATACAGAAAGAAAAACAGGAAGAGGAGTCTGTTTCCCATCATTTCAAAGCCTCCTCTGCTACCTCCCCATCTCTCCTCTGTGGCGACACCTCTCCATGCATGCTCTCTGTCGACTTGTATTGTTCTTGCTGAGGTCAAACCTCTGGACATATTAATGCCCCTTTTCAAACAGGCTTGCTCAGCCCCCGGACCCTGTTCAAGGAACACAATGAAATACATTTTTTGCCACAATTTTTTTCTTTTTTTTTTCCGGCTGCAGCCCGACAGTTTGTGGCAGCTGTGCTCAGCCTCTCACAAGAGATCCAGACTGTTTTTTTTTTCTCAGTCTTCCTCTTCTTTCCTTCCTTTCCTAGATGTGACCTTGCCCCCTTCACTAAACCCCCTCCCAGTCATGCTCCAGACAGCCCCCACTTCATTTTCTCTTAACTCTGAGGGGGAAAGATGGTAAAATTTGATGCACCACAGCGAACCACATTTAACGGCATCTGATATCCCTGCTTTGTTATGGCCTCTGGTGGAGGGGTAGATGTAGGGCTCATTAGCTGCCATCTGATAACATTCACCTCAAATTTTAGCAAACAATGACTCAAAACAACATTTACCTTAGACTGACAGCTCTTCATATCTATGCCAACATAAAAAAAGACCTCAGGTTGTTTTATTTGGCTTAGAACCAGCCTCTTATCGCTACAAACGGCAGATCCAGGAAACTCAGATCTAATTATATTCCTGACAGTTTATTTTCAGTGACCGCCATCATTGTGACACCTTTCTTCTAACTTTAACTTCTCTCTGCACGCTGTCTGCTCTTTGCAACTAATGAACTTGTCTTTGTTTGCACCTCAGTGGGAGCAAAAGTAAGGGAGGCTGCAGCTTGCAAGAAGTTCTGCATGTTTGTGCACCGGAGAAAGTGTGTGTGCGTCTGTGTGTGCAGGAACAGGTGCGAGGCTCCTTTCCGTGTCAAATTGGAAAACCCCAAACTGTCACGCAAGGAATGTGATCATTCGCTTTATTGCCCTGTGCTACACTCAGATAGCCGTGTTTATGTGCATGCCTGTGACACAGAGAGTGGGGGAATGAGACAATGAGACAAAGAAAGGATGACAGACAAGGAGAGTCAAGCTGCTTAAACTTGGGGAGACAGAGGGGGAAATTATTCTCACAGCTTTTTACATTAAACAGTTTAAAATGTTCAATCTAAGCCAACCGCCTGCGTCGCAGCCCCAAAGATAGGTCCTCGTTGGTTATCTGCAGGTGTTCTGCAGATTATGCATTATATTCAATGTCCAAAACAAAATAAAAATAAAAAGCCAGACTAGAATAAAATAAAAAGGTATGACTAAACAGAACCATTTGACCCTGATCTGTCTTGTTGGTGTTTGGCTAGCATTTGGGTATAATTTATCCCAGTGGCTCCATGGTATACCCTAGTGCTTCCATTTTGTCCTGTTGTGTTTATACTTATGTAGTTACAACCCGTTTATCGCTCTTGATAGTTATGTGCAGCTGGCTAGCTCAGATGTGCGGCTGGCTAGCTCATGTGTTCGGCTGGCTAGCTCAGGTGTGCGGCTGGCTAGCTCAGGTGTGCGGCTGGCAGCTCAGGTGTGCGGCTGGCTAGCTCAGGTGTGCAGCTGGTTAGCTCAGGTGTGCAGCTGGCTAGCTCAGGTGTGCAGCTGGTTAGCTCAGGTGTGCAGCTGGCTATCTCAGGTGTGCGACTCGCTAGCTCAGCATCTGCTAAATGTATAAACAAACATAAGATAAAAACATGTGTGTTTCTGTTGAAATGTTAAAATATGTATGAAATGCTACATTCAACTTTATCTCCTGAGGAAATATGACATTCATGATTTAGTGACCTCCTGTCAGTAGCTACAATATAACCTCTTAACGTTATAGTAGACTGGAGGTCAATTATGTAGAACTTCTTAAAATCACCAGTCAAAGACGGTGTAGAACATCCCTTCCCAGGGTATAAATGGTCAGTATTCCCATGGCAGATTTGCTCCTCTTTGTACACAACTTTGAAAAAATAACAAAATAGCTACAGCATTGGACTAAACCATTAACTAAACCTAAAGCAGGTTTGGCATGGTAAGGAAATTGTCTGTTTCTACAATGTATTGCTAAAAAGAAAAACAAGATGTGTAAAATTTTTGACAAACCAAATCAAATCAGTCATGCATTATCAGCATGTTTTTTTTTATTGGACAGCAAAGCCTTCAGCAGTCCCAACTTGAAAAAGTAGGTAAAGAAAAACTGAATTAGAGAAATATCCACTAGTTTTGCAAACACCATGGATGCTGAGAGCTACTGTTCTAAATTGTTCTTTTGGAGATAAAAATCCAGTTTCAAAATAATTGCAGTTTGGTTTCATTCTAAACATTCTTTCCCTTCCTTTGGTTCCTCTTAAGCCTTCTCCTAATCGTATCCCTTTTCTCCACCTTCTATCCTCTGCAGGGGGATCGAATGGACATGGAGGCGATGAAGTGTAAGGTCCTGACCGTCTCCAACCACAGCTGTGAAAGTCTGACCATGGTAGGAAACACCCTGGAGTGCACCGTTCCCACCGAGCTGCAGGCCGCCACAGCCAAGGAGCTCCAGGTGGAGGTGAGACACGCCTGCGCCCCACGGGCACACAGCAAGCTCCGTTTACTTTCTCAGCCCACGGTTTCCCTCACACCTGTGCAACAGTCCATAAACAGCAGCACTTTAATTAAGACAGCCTGTCGTTTAACAGTAGTCACAAAAACACCTCCACACCCCAACTACATGTTTGCACAGAAGCATGCTCCCGCAATTTCAAACCTCCTTTCATAAACTTGTTCCAGGGACTCAGCTGATAAAAACAGTGACATGAATGGATGTTTTAATGCAACTGCAGGCGGCTTGCATATATGCAACAGCATCAATGACAATACTGCTGGCCATTAATGACTGCACAAGTCTTCCCCAATGATAGCTTAAAAAAAATGAGTCTAGACAAACTATGATGCTGATAATGGCTGCCAAACAGATTCTCCGAAGTGAATATGAAGAGAAAACCTCAATAAAACCAGTTATGTTTGTGTTTCTACCATCTGGCTTAGGGGAGGAATCTTTCATCAGCTCATATCTCTGTGCCCGCTTATGAGAGACAAACAAGCTGACCAGTTTGGCGGAAATGACCAGATACACTCCAATAAGAAAAGAGCGGCAGCAGTCAGTTTTTATCCATATTATTATTTTGAGTTCATTACATTCAGCTGATTCGAAAACAACCACATGTGATAATAATTTATTAATAATAATAACTGAACTTTATTAAGTTCAAATTGGACAAATTTACCTCTGCATTTAACCCATCTCCTTGGGGAGCAGTGGGCTGCCATCGTGAGGCGCCCAAGGAGTAACGTGGGGTTAAGGGTTTTGCTCAGGAACCCAGAGTGGAGGCTGAGGGAATTGAACAGGGTATGTGCAACCTTCTCAGAGCAGAAGCACACTGCTCTAAACACTAGGCCAACATTCCACTCATGTATTGATCTCTTTAATATATCTACGCTGCTATAGAAGTCTATATTAAAGATATATAGAGGACAATGGAGAGTAAGTAAAAAACAAATACATCTAGTAAATTTAAATCATAGATTTACAAAATCCTGTTTGATTTTTTTTTATTGCTAATTTTTAAATGAAATTATTAAAGAATAAATTTATTAAAGATAAATAAAATATATAATTTAAATATATAAATTATATATTTTATTTATCAACACTGCAATTTCAGACGTAATTTAAAACCAAGTTTTAATTTTTATAAGTTATTACTAATCTGTATAGAAGCTTTTAGGTAACTGTTAATAAGATGTATAAGATGATATATCCAACCTGTTAGTAAGCTGTTATTAAACTGTTAACAAGCTGTTACAAATCTGTTGTTGTTGTCACAGAAATAAAGTCAATTCAATTAAATTCAGTTTATTTACATAGCGCCAATTCACAACACAAGTCATCTCAAGCACATTACAGTTCACCAGATCATCCAGTCAAATTGATTCAAAGTTTTCTAACTAAGGAAAACCAGTTGATTGCATCGACTCATTGACTCGGATGCAATCCCTCACACTAAGCATGCTTGCAGTGACAGTGGAGATGAAAAATTCCCTTTTAACAGGAAGAAACCTCCAGCAGAACCAGGCTCAGTGTGAGCGGCCATCTGCTGAGGCCAACCGGGGTTCAAGGAGACAGAAGTAGAGATACAAAAAGCAACCGTCCAGGAAAGAAAACTGAAATTGCAAAAAGAATTTAATCCAAAGTGAAAAAGATGATGGAGAAGGAAAAGAGAGTAACATTTTTAAATGTTTGATAAGGAAAGGGTTTTATAATCAGATTCCTAAATTGTGTTATTCAAATTTCCATTAAGAAATTAGATTGGATAATACATTTTAAAATTTCAGTATTTGATAATGGATTGATAAATAAAATGTACAATTCCTCTTCAATCATTTTTATTTCAAACTTTCAATCCTGAAACTCTTTTCAAACTCAATGATTTTAATGTTACTCTCCTTGTCTTCCATACATGTAGCCTTATGGAGCTCTTTATAATAAACTCTTGGAAATTTGGGAAAATCATCACATTCCTTATGTGCACCAAATCATTTACCGGTACTAGGAACTTCATCCCAATGTCCTGATGTAGTCCTCATAAATAAGGAGCTCAGAGGGAAATCATCAGACAGAGTGATGAGTGTATCGACTCCAAAAACAGCTGTGCATCCCATCACATGAATGCAAGTCGAGCAGAAATTCAGGATGTCAGCAGACATAACGCAAAGCCTTATAATACCCAAATGCATTTTAATTCATAATTAAACTGGTTGGAAAGATTAAAAAAAAGCTTAAATATTTGGAATAGGGAAATTTTGTTTGAAAGTACAAAGAGACGTGAAATGATTTTAGAGTCATATAAAAGGAATGATGCACATATAAAAATAAATGTCTTTATGCTAATGAAGATGTTTGTTTTGTCATTAAGCATGTAGTCATTCTAATAACCTATAGAGGTGGCCTTTTTCATATTTATTACATAGGGATCTAAACAAAAGATTAATGTAGAATGCAACTTTTTTAGGTCATAATCACCCTCAGCAACTAAAACCTAAATATTGTTTATTGAAGTCACACTAAAAATTGATTAACTTAACATTTTTTCATTGTTTGAGTGAACTAATGAACCCCCACCCCATCACCCAGCTGCTGTAGCTGTGTCTTAAAACGCTGGTCTTCAGACTCCTTCAGAGATAACATCCGCCGGCCGTCTCCAGACCAACCGCTATCAGGATCATCATTGTTGACTTGTGAACTGGCCTTCAGAGAAAATTCCTTATCTCTGGGTTGGTCTCAGCCAATATCCCTCTAGCTGCACAAACCAACATCAAGGCTTGTCCAGACAGTATTGATTTACAAACACATTATTCCATCTGCAGCAGAGAGCAGTAGGAAGTTAATTTCCACTAAACCTAATAAAAGCAGGACTTATATCTCTGATTTAATCTAACATACTTTATTAGTATTACAACACATCATTTTGTCTTTATAGAATCAAATACCATAGGGGGGCTCACGGACCGGGGTCCTATTGGGGCCACCTGAAATAAAGAACTAGGAGAAAGTTTGTTAAATTCTAGAGGAGTAAAAAGACCTGGACACAGTAGATGGAGAAGCCTCAGATTGTTTCTGCTTTAATGTCACACAGGTTTTGGATCATCAAATGGGGGAGTAGTGGCCTAGTGGTTTGGACAATGTGCTTGAAATCCAGAGGTTCTGAGTTCAAGCCCCACTCCCACAGACTGCCACTCTGGCTCCCTGAGCAAAAACCCTTTACCCACACTGACCAATGGCAGCCCACTGTTCCCCAAGGGGATGGGTTAAATACAGAGATTGGATTTCTCCAATGTGAAAACAATACAGTTCAATTATTAATAAACAGGTTTTAAAGGTTGACTGAGGTAATTTGAGGAAAAACACAAACTATTTCCCCTTTGATATAAAGTTTTAATTAGAAAAAATTCAAACATCGTCTCCTTAATAATTTTTTTGTGGAAAAAAAATCAGAAATCAGAAGAAATCCATGTGGGGAAAAATAAGTTATATAATTTTCCTGTATTTTACAGAGGTTTTATAGAGTCACACTGTTTGACAAGGCCGCCTAGCAATGATAAACACGACGGCTCCTAAATAAGTAACACCGCTGCTCCCTGCAGACCTTCTGCCTTTGCGCCTCACCTCAAGCCATGCAAGTTGTGTGCGGCTTAAGTCGACAGCACAGCCAAAAAATCAATCATGAAAAAAATGAATTTGTTGAAGTTTTTAACATTCACTCATTACACACCAAATCCCCTCTCTTTGTTCAGTGGCGCCAAGCGACAGGCATCAGGAATCTGGGCAAGGTGACGATCGCGCAGGAACAGGACTACACAAGCCTCATCGTCGGCTGCGTTTGTGTCAGCCTTGTGCTTCTACTTCTGTTGTCACTGCTGATGTGGAGGAGGAACAAACACATTGATGGTAAGAGCAGAGAGGTGTGACATACAGAGATACAGATTCATGTCATGACAAATACTGATTATCTTTAATCAATAACAGGTAACCAGACAGTTGACTATTTGTTAGGTTCTAAATGTTTGAGAGCTTGCATGCTATAGATTCACTTACATATCTGAACGCTGCAGAAAATTTTCCCACCAACCTGCTTTATTAACACATTTTAACAGCGATCTGCTCTTTGATTAGGCTTTGCATGCACTTTAAGGGAAAAAAAATTATACTGATACAGTAACAGTAGAAACTTTTAATATTTTTGGGCTTTTAGTGATGCTTTTACACATTTTTATGCAAAAGAGTCAAATTCATTTTTAATTCATTTTTGTCTTTACCAAAGAAGATCTGTTTTTTTTGCTCACAGGTTCAAATATATACATAGTCTATGCATTTTCAGTAATATTTCAACAAAACAGGGCCATTATGGGCCAATATGCTTATGTTATTGAATATATAACTTTTATTTATTTTTAGTATCCTGTAGAGCAATTCAGCACTAAAATGTGCTGCCTAGGTGTTAAAAAGGGGAGCCCTAATTGATTTATGGTCACAAAAGGAGCGTTACTGCTTTTGCTATAATGCAGCACTTTGTGTTAATTAAGACAAAGTTAAAGTTAAGTTTATAAAAAAAAATGCAAATGAAAATGTAGATGAGAGTAAAGGTGAAAAAAGAAGAAATACAGACAGTGTAAAAAAAAAGATAAAAAAAGAGAGGTAAACTTGATGATATTCGCTTCTACACCTGCAGAAATTAAGAAGAAAAGAAAACATGACAATGAACAAACAGAATTAAAGAATAGTACACTGTACTATGCAAGATGTACATAGTAAGAGCCTCAACTCTTGATAGAGTATATTTGAATGTACTGTGTATCTATAAGCACATTAATCCAAAAATATGTGTTTATGTGTGATCGCGGTTGTGTAGACAAGTGGTCTGTTTCATTAAGCAGGCTTAACAAATTCAGACTCAAATCCAAAACTCTAAATTGATTTAGCCAAAACTTTTGGCTAGATCGTTTGTTTTCAAACGGACATGCAGTGTTTGCTTTTAAAACCTAATGTGCGTAGCGGACCTAGTGAAAGATATGTTTTTTTGTATGCAAAAAACTATGACAAAAATCTGATTATATCAGGAAATAAAACACCATGATTGGCTGTAATGAGGGTGGAGACAGTGGACACTGAGTTCACTGAAGAAAACCTGCTCCTGACAAGGTTAGCTCTGGGGAGAATGTTACTACGATGACTGAAACAGAGGTTGAATAAACTCTCTTTGTGAAACAGAAAAGTCAGTACCACTGTTTTCAGGTTTAGACCGCATAGAGTTTTCGGTAAACCTGCTTCATGAAACTGACCCAAGGTCTCTCCATAAGAATGTTCTAAAGAAGGCGTGAAGAGCCACAGACCTGCCCCTCAGGACTCCAAACAGTCAGAGCTCCAGGTATCCAAAGCTCCTCCAGAGGACAGGAGCCTGTGAGGACCAATTCATTCTTTTCATTGGCCAAACCTGTTTGGGCGAAATGAGTGATACCTTAACACAGTTTTATGGTCTAACAGAAGAGGGTCTCCAAAACAGGTTAAACCTGATTCTAAAATAAATAAAACAAGCCTAACCTCAATTGATTACAAAATATCTTTAAAAGCTTAGTCTCTGCAAGAAAACCAAACAGATTCTGGCATGAGCCTTCTCCCACAATCACTGTTTATGTTCTCTACTTCCGTCTTTAGTTCTTTCATTTTGGAATAGGTTCTTGTCTGTATTTTGTCTTAGTAAAAACAAAAAATCTTTTTCTTGGTTCAGTTCTTGATCATTACTCTTCCCCTCTTCTCTTTGCTACCTCTGCCTTCATTGGTCTCATCTGTTCCTCGTCTCCCCCTGATCACTTTCACCCATCCTGGCATGCATTTCTTCACCCTCCCCTCTGCATAAAAGCTCTCTGGTTGTCATTGGTCATTGATTTCTTCTTCTCTTGTCCTGGTCTGTCACTCTGCGTAGTTCATGCTCCTATTGTTTGTTCTAAGTTTGATTTTGATTTTGTTATTTAATCCTAATTTTCATTGAAGAATTTTCAGTTATCTGATCAAACGTTTGATAGAATTAAATAAATTTGGGTTTTTTTCTGTTCTTGACTAAAAGAGTATTTTGTGTGTGTGTACTTCTGTGCCTATATGGATGACTATGATCCTGTGTGATTTACAATATGTCCAATAAGTCCGAACCTGTGAGCCCAAATTGTTATTTTTTAATCTATTATGGTCGAATTTTGTGTCATGCTCAAAGGAATCACTAAAAGTCCAAAATTAACACTGCTTTGGTACTAGGAACATCTTAAATCGTGGGTTTAAAGCAAGAGGCCCTATGTTGGATTCATTTTCTAAAGCCAGTGCTTGTACTCATCTATCACGACTTTATCCGCTGGTTTTCGAAATTCCTGAACTTTGTTTTCACATTGTGTGAATTTTTTGTTCCTTACCTCTTTCTGAATCCCTTTTAGTTTGACACTAAACTTTTATTACAGTTTTTAAACACATTGGTGTAAAAGAAAATGTCTGTTTTTTTATTTGCTTAAATGTATGACTTTTGATACATTAATATTTGCTTCCAAATGAAGTTGGGGGAATTTTTTCTAATCTTTCCTAAGCATATGTGTCTGCAGCGCTTGGTTTGCATGGTGGGTTCGGAGGAATTTCTTGCGTGGGATGCACTGGTGGAAACACTTAGCTTTTCTGAGTGATCTGTTGCTCTCCCCTGTTGTTTCTATTACTTTTTCTTCCTGTTACCCTTTTACACATTTCTTTCTGTCTGTGCAACATTTATTTCCAGATCTTTCTGAGGTGTGGTATGATGGCCGGGGTCACATCCAGCATCTGGACAGGCTGGCTAACGCGAGGAGCGTCAGCCCCACTAACGAACTGGTGTCCCACGAATCAGTCGACTATAGGACAACCCTGCTGGAGGGTACGTCAAGCAGATAAGACCCCCTATCCCGTCCACCTTAACCCCTATTCTTATGTACCTCCTGCCTTACCTGTTGCCTTCAGTGGCTCGCTCTGCATGCCTCATTATACATGTTTCTAACTAACAGTCTTGCCTGTGCAGATTCTCCGCCTGCAGACATTCCAAGTCAGATGCTAATCAGATGCTAATCATGGGCTATGTGATTGGTTTTTTGAATTATAATCAAACCAATCATATAGCCATCAAAAGGCTCCAACAATCCAGAAAAAAACAAAGGGTGGCTTATTAATTAGCATCTGACTTGGAGTGTGTGCAGGACAATGGACCTCCATGCGGTTTAAATACATTTTAGTGCTCTAACTAGAGTTTGCTCTAGTGTGAGCAAACAGAATTGTCAAAGACGCCTGAATAGGTGTTGAAACGTCTTCAAAAGTCTGGTTGCCTTCCCATTTAAGCCTGTTTGAGGTAACTAACAGCCTTTAGTACTGAGTCAATCACTAAGAAAATTGTTGTTGTTAAAATGATCCATTTTAGGTTGTGTTGACTGCATATTTACTAAATATTAATGAAAACATACTCTGTTTTAAAATAAAATAAAGAAATTCACAAGTGCAATTTTGAAAACCAAACATGTCTTAGAAATTCATCTAAGCGCAGATTGTGTCCTGTGCAAGGAATTGCGAAAAACCTAAGAGCTACATATCAGACCCTAGAAGCCTAACATTTTTTCTTTTTTTTTTTTTCTTTTTTTGGTGGACAGCTTGCCAGGACAGCACCTCTTTTTTTCTTTTTTCTTTTTTTCTTTCTTTTTTTTTTTTTTTTTACAAATAATATGGTAGTAAGACTTAGTTATCCAAAGTTCAATTTAAAAGAACCAATAATACTAAACAGCCTATATGGTGATGCAGTGGTTAGCAAAAATGTCCTCAGCCTGTGCATGTTTTCTATTCATGAGTATCTTCTTTCCAGATTCACATGCTTCCTTCCCGAGTCCAAAAACAGGACTGGTTCCTTTAAATAGCCATACGTATGAGCCTAATCATTGTGCCTTTGTGGCACTGCCTACTCCTGTACCTTTCTCAGTTTTTAGAGCAGAGCTGCCCAAAGTCGGCCCTTGTATACTATCGTATTTTAGAGTCCAAGTTTAGAAAACCCTGTATGGTACAGAGAGCTTGGTAGAGAACCAGGTATTGAAAGCATTAAATCCATAAAAAAGTGGATCAAACTTCCTCCCAAACCACGTTTGGCAATGTTCTTCAGAAAATCCTGGGATGTGCAAATCTTTTCGCCAAGAGGTGCTTTTGTTTCAGCCAAATTCTTCGAATTAAAAATATTGTCAATATGAAATTTGTTTATTTTTTTTAAAATGTAGTAACAGGGACAAATCCAGAATCCAGCTGTGTGATAATAGAAACAAAATGACTGGGAGACTATTTAGGAAACCTAACCACAGGATTGTCTCTAAACCCCCAACATGGAGGGAATTTTGCTCCAATATTGTTGCAAAGAAAAAGTTTCATCAGTAGAAATAATAATAAAAAAAAATTATAACTAGAGATTAAGCTTTTTAAAATGTCTTAATAAAAAAAAGGATTTGAGATTAAGTTTTCTGACATTTTTATTTTTTTTATAAAATTGGGATCTTTTATTTTGTAAATTTTTGTCACATTTTATTGTTTTTTTATGTCTTTTTATTTAATATTTTTAGATTGTGTTTTCATTTTGCATGTCACAAATGCATTATTTGTGTATTATAATTTTTTCAAATGGGGAGTTACTTTTGGGGGTACGATTTCTCTAGATTGAGGAGTGAAGACGCATTTCTAGTGGTCAGCATGAAAGTTTGGGTTGGGCTTCAAGTGAAGAGAGTGTGACCTGTAAAATGCAATTAGGAAAGATTATTTTTGCAAAACTAAATCTAAAAAAGAGAAATTGGAAAAAAATACATATTCAGAAAATAAAAGATTTAAACTTAGGTTTGAAAAAAAGTTCTTAAAACCTCTTTTTTTATTAAGAAGACTTTTCAAACTTTCTGGACTGCATTCTTTTTTTATTTCCGTTTACAAAACGCTCACTCCATTGACAAACTGGTTTAGGCTGTAGATGGATGAAAATATGGCATTACAGAAACTATCAACACAATGACCAGAATGGCTGAACTAAATGATTTCAAACAAAAGAAGACGAAAGAAATTCCGAAACAGGAAAGGGGGTTAAGAGGAAGTAAAGAGTCAGAAAGACTAGACTAACCACAATAAAACAGGAAACAACGGATGAGGAACTCAGAAACTTAAACATTTAGGTTCATGAAATTTCACCTGATAACAGAGTAAATAAGGAATCAAACTAGGATGGATGGACATACAAGAAATCTCCTAACTTATGTATCAGGGATTGTTTTTTTATTGACATCTGGGGACCTTGTGTGGATTCTGTTCTGGTACTGTGATCTCCAGGATCAGGGCTGAAGCAATTTCTATGGGTGCATTAACTAATGACCTAACGCTTTGCTTTAAGGGAAGTTTTCTTCTATCTTTCACCTCTATTTCTGTTGCATTTATTAGCCTTCTACAAAAACATTCAGGAAGCAAATCAGAAGCTTTTTTTCCCCTGTTCTGCTCGTTTTCATATTCGGGTCAAATATCTCTCCGTCTTCATAGATGTCACCCTCTGATCATCTAACACACCTTGACGTCTGGAGGTCAAGGTGTTGTGATAGACCAACCGACATCTGACCCCCTTCTTCTCATTTCTGCCTCACCAGATCAGGGTGTCGACAGGCCCGAGACATGTCGGGCCGCTCCTCCCGTCTACAGAGCCAATGGGGAGCTGCTGTCTCCCAGACTGCGAACACCAGGGAGTGGGATTGGCCTGGGCATGGAAGGGGACTTGGTATCACCCCTCTTGATGGCTCCTGTCCACATCGACCCATCCTGTCTTCACCCAGACCTGCTGACTGAGGTGCAGCATGTGGTGATCGCAAAGGAGCAACTGCTGCTTCACGTCAACCAGGTCATCGGCAGAGGTCAGTGATCTCTTTCCTAAGGTTTGTTTTTTTGTACTGTAGGCATAATAAAAATGGCCTGAGGACTCATGCAGAAAAGAGTTAACAGCTCCCAGACTATAAGTTGGGGGAAGGGAGAAATTGTGATGCACGTGGCTCTTGAACTGCTAAGTCCCTGCCTCTCTATACTTCTGTAAATTAGCATAGATTACTGTAAGTCAACCACCAATAACCATGGCAACAGTGCTATGCAGCAGCCACACCATTGGGGAAATTCATAATTCAGCTGCTACATTTAGTTTAATTACAGCTTGATGCTGATTATTTTAGTGTATGTGAATATAACTCCTATGCTTCTGCTTAAGAAGACAGTCACCAGACGTTAACTGGGATTTAATGGAAGAGTGTCAGATAAAAAAACAAAAATGATGCTGGTCATCACTTACAGAGCCTGCTTTAAATCCTGCATCATTATAACATTTATTATTAGAATAATTGGAGTTATTATTACAGTATAAAGGAATCCTGAGTTGAGCAGGCCAGCAAACGTCAATGAGACACGTTCATGCCATCTTTGTTATTAGTCGCCGCTATCGGGTAGCGATAGCCTATGGCGACAGCGGGCAGCTGTGACAGCAAATCCCTTAATGCTTTGCGAGGAGAAACATTCTGGGATACATCTGCCTTTTCTGATGCCTTTCTTTTCTTCTCATATACTTCATATACACTTTTTCTCTTGTGACCCTTGGCCATTTTCAAAGAACCGCAAAAAAGAGTTTCAATGACTGGCTGAAACTGTAGCTCACCACAGATATACACCTTAAAAAGTGCATGCGCAAAAAAAGATACAGTAGCTAACGGAACGGGGACGTAGGACGGCCTTACGTAAACATTTCATCACAATGATTGATAATTAGGAGGACCACTTATTTAGATGATCCACCCAGAAATAAAAGATTGTCCTCTATACCTTAAAGTATTCCATTTTGTTGGGAGTAGCAGATCCCCTGTATTGTGGCGGGCGATAGTGCTGGGAGTCCCCAAGCTCTCCAAAGCAAAGACCCTTCGTGTAAACCGGGGGCTCTCATGCTAGAATTGTGTTTGGTGTTATTGCTCCACTTTAGCAGTAAATGCAGCCATAGCTGTGATGACAGTAATCCGAGCCACAGTTTAGCTGAATTCGATGTAGCTGGGCAACCTACGCATGAGGCATGTGGCTGGCATGGCACGGTTAGAGTGTGAAGTGCCTCAACTGTCAGTCATCTCATTCTGAAGAACGGCTTTTGCTAAGAACACAGCATAGTGAGAGGACTTGAACAGTCTGAACAGGCTGATAACCCACTCTTTGTGTGCTAGCGGGTCACATCGATTCCTGAAAAAAAAAAACATTGTTCTAACCCTCATTCAGCCACGACCATTACTTGATTATGAATCTGTGGGGTTGTCTACACCTTGTCCAGGTTGAAAATCATCACACTTCACTTGTAGGGAGTTAATCTACTAAAAAAACTTGTTGATTTTTAACAAGATTTGTTGATGATTCATATGCCTTTTATTGTCCTCTGTGTAAAATTGATGCATGTCTAAAGATGCAAGAAACATGACAGAGGAATATATATATATAGTTTGCATCCAACTGAGGTGGTTTCCACTATTTCTGTGCTTCAGTTTCATTACTCAGGATAAAACAAGAAAAAGCTCCAATTTGTGAAAAAGCGTTGGGTCGATGATGTCTGTCACAGCCTTTAAGAATTCCAAATATAACAAAAACAAAAAAATGTTATTCTTTGTGTGTCCTCAACATGTCCCCAATACCTCACTCAGTCATAGCGTTCATTCTGAAGAGGACTGTTGCTGATATGAACCATTAAGCTTGGTGGGTTTTTGTTCTGATAAACATCCGGTCACTGATAAAAGCAAATCAAGTTGAAAGACACCTGATTGTCTTTCAACCTAAAAAGAAAATTCTTAAATTGGGATGGATTTTATCATTTGTTCCACTCATCTGAGGACAAATTAACCCATTTAAGTGTCCTGCCATAAAACAAACATGATTTCATGACTTTAGAGAAAAAGCTACGTCCCAATTACAACCAAGCGTTATTTATACCTTCAGGCTTTTGCACTTCACTAAAAGAGATTTGTTTAAAGTCAGGCCGAATATAAAGTATCAGTGAACTTATAAAAAATAAAAAATCTTTGAGCAGTGGACACACAGGCTCAAAATTAGCCCATTTTACCACATCTAAGTAGGCAGTTTAAACTGAGAGATCAAATTTGATATCGAACAGAGAAGGAGCCTTAACCCTGTAGAGTTCCAGAAAAACAGCATGCACCCCCCACCTCCTCTGATTGTGAATGAACCCCTGCCGTCTGGATTTGGTGGCTGCTGGAGAGCTTTAAAGTGGCATAGGATGATTTGTTCTCAGCTAGTGTTCCCAGGGTCTGATGTGGAAAGTCGTAATCCAACACTTCTAGCCATCTGCAAGGACGTGATCGGAGAACGCCGCGCTCATTCCGGTCCTGCAGACTTCTCAGCCTGGACCAAGCCCCCTGGCTTAAATAAGGGATATAATTCAATAAAACACACAATAACTTAGTAGGGTTGGATGCTTTTTATTAGCCTGTTATAAAGCCTAATACTGAGTTACTTGGGAGGGACTGATTTTGGGGGGTTACTTTGAAACAATTGGCTGTATAGGAAGAAAAAAAAAACACTTAAATTGTCTTTTTATTGATTAAAGAACTATTACTACTTACGGTACAAAAACTGTGAAAAGACCAAAGTCCTCCTAGCTTCTCCTAGTTGTGCAGACACTCTTTACTATTTACAAAAAAAATGTCTCCTTTACCTCACAGGTTATTTCCAACTAAATAACTGACATAAAATGTGTGACCCTTGCCTTGTCTTTGCTGAAGCCATTTTGCACATGCATCATCAGGTTTGAACAGAAGCTTTTTGAACTCTGACTGATGTACATCATGTTATAACCTGCAGGCCACTTTGGCTGTGTTTTCCACGGAACGTTGCTGGAGTCAGATGGGCAGAAACAACACTGTGCAGTCAAGTCCCTGAACCGTAAGTAAAAGCTCTCCTTATATCTAGTAAGTCAAGGGTTTCTTAATCAGGTAAGGGATATAGGGGATCAGAATGAAAGGTTGTATAAAAGTTAAGGCAAAGTTGCTTCATTCATAATTGTGTTGATGATGCAAGCGTGTTTTTGATAAGCATAAAAATCATCCAGCTTTGTACATAGTCTGATTTTCAGATTTGATGTTTCAGGTCATTATAAAATCTCTCATATCCAATAGAAATCTAAAACCTAAGTAGATTCATGTTAATATATCCGCATAGAAACACTCCATAGGCTGAATCAAGCTAATAATTTGGGTTGATTCTGCAGCACACGGCAGCCCATCATTTGGAAATATAAAGCCATCTGCCTGATAATCTAATCTGTGATCAAAATAAGACAAATTGAATAACAAATCTTTGGGAATCTTTATCTTTTTGATGCTAAACAAAACCGGAAGCCAATCTCATCCATATTTTTTACTTAAACTGTCTTTTTTCACTGTCTAATATAAAAGGATGAATTTAGATTTTTCAATAAGGTTCTGTATAAATGTTTCTTCAACATTGAGAAAAAAGATATGCTATTCCCATAAGCCTTTTGTTAATAAAGGGAAGTTCTCAGAGTTGAGGATGACTATCAGTTAGCCAGAGAACCATCGCTGCTTTAAGTGACCTTAAAGGAATAGTACACCCAAAACATGATTAGCCTTCATTTTCTACTCACCCCCATGCTGAACAACACTCTGGAGTACTTTTTTGATATCTCAAATGCATCTGGAGATCTGGGAGGCTTCTTGCTGTCTGCTGACATTCAAATAATGGAGGTCTATGGTGCCCGAGGCAGAAAGGTCCATAAAAGTCCACAAAAAACGTGTCAATATTCCTCCATACTGCTCGTCCAATGTATTCCAAGTGTCCTGAGTGGGTAGCGTCCATAATTTACTCGAAACGAAGTCATTTAGAATGTTTTTAGAGCATAAACAGTAGTGTATAGGATTTCCTGAAAGCGCGCGCCGGCGCGTTCATGACGCTACGGAAGCCGGCAGACCAAACCAGATGAAAGTGCGCATTCAGCATCTGCTCTGCCGATAATGCAAGCGTAGAAGAAGAAATGTGCTGTTTACCTGTGCAAAGAAAGAAACAACGAAAGAAAAATGTCTGAGGACTACAGTGTTGAGGAAGAGCATGAGTTCTTTGCCGAGCTGAATGCGCACTTTCATCTGGTTTGGTCTGCCGCGGTTTCCGTAGCGTCATGAACGCGCTTTCAGGAAATCCTATACACTACTGTTTATGCTCTAAAAACATTCTAAATGACTTCGTTTCGAGTAAATTCTGGATGCTACCCACTCAGGACACTTGGAATACATTGGACGAGCAGTATGGAGGAATATTGACACGTTTTTTGTGGACTTTTATGGACCTTTCTGTCTCTGTCACCATAGACCTCCATTATTTGAATGTCAGCAGACAGCAAGAAGCCTCCCAGATCTCCAGATGCATCTGAGATATCAAAAAAGTACTCCAGAGTGTTGTTCAGCATGGGGGTGAGTAGAAAATGAAGGCTAATCATGTTTTGGGTGTACTATTCCTTTAACCTTGTAAATCATTTATAAGGTGAAAAAGTATGTTACAGTGGGTAACTAGGTCATTCCAGCAAAGTGAAAAAAGTTAAAAAAAATAAACCACTGGACTTTGTTTTCCAAGTTCGAAGACCAAAACATCTCGCCTGGTCAGCTAAGCCAACAGGGACCCTAACGACTCCCTTTTCAGAGGCATAGACCCGTATCAGGTCTTGCAGGCTAACAACAACCTCAGCGACTCCCTATTCCTAAGGGGTGGACCTGTTTTTTTGGTTCAATTTGCATGTTTTTTTAAGCCATAACTATACTTTAGTTTGTGCCACTCTCTAAGCCTGGAACTCAAACCCTACTCCAGACATTTTGAATTGAGAAAGCTTCCTAAATGGGAAGAGAAACATCTTCAAACTTAGAAAACAAAGTCCAGTGGATTGCTTTTTTTTTATTTTATTTTATTTTTTACTTTTTTTTACTTTGTTGGGATGACTATGAGCTGGATGAATCTTCACCAGCTTGGGTAACTATGGAAATTAACGTTCTGACTTGTTGCTGCTCCGTTTAGTAGAAAAAACATCTGTGCCTCAAGTTACTCTGACTAACTCTGCAAAGAAGGGATTAAAAGGTAGGGTTTTGCATAATTTGTGCAGAAGTATTAAGACGTTATGTCACTGTGCTCTCCAGGTGTAATAGTTGTTTAAAATATGAGCTGATCCAAAAAAGCAGGTGACCAACTTGCGCCAGCTTTGAGGACTGTTATGCTGTTCCTTCAACCTTTAGGTGATTTGTTTGTCTTCTGCCCATAAAGGGATCTATTACAGAGTGTAACTTCATATTATCTAATTTACAAAAGTCTAAACTAACCCTTAAAATTACGACTAACCTTGCCCTGATTTAGGTGAGTTTGGATTACAAAGATTATTTCTGTTGACTGAATATGAGAAAAAAAATGCTTTTATAGAACAAAAGTTAAAACAGGAGGTAACAAACTGATCTAAAAAGAGAGGCATTTATTTTGCATGTCAGGCAGTAAGGAAAAAATATTGTAGGGCTTTGTAAAACAGCGTACCTAAATATGTGGTTTTAACTGTGATAATTAGTCAAACCAGGTTACAACAGAAACCACTCAGCTTCCAGCAAGGCTTGGTGCAGTGTGTTCCTGTCTAAACATGCACACGCTCATCTGTCTGCACTGTACTGCATCTTTACTGTATGATGTCACATCTCCCAACAGTGGGATTATGGATCTCATTCTTTCAAAGCCCACGATCCCTTTGAGCTCAAGCTAATGGTGATGAATGAGCTTCCAGTGGTGAGGACGACATTAGGGTCCCGGCTAATCTTGTAACCTGTCAGCTGAGGCAGGGAGATTGATGCTGAAACGATATGGAGGAATCACCCATGCAGACAGGAGAAGCCACATGCAAAACGGAGGCAGCCTCAGCTCAGGGTCTGGTCCACAGGGACTTTAACCTTATTTTATTCATTGTTGGGAACAATCAGGGCATAGTGCTAGTTTTGGCTTTTTGTGTTTTGTTTTACATCTTGGTCATAATTTAATGCTCTATGATGATTAAACCTAAAGCCCACTGACCCTTAAGTGAAGCTCACCATCTACCTTAATACCCCCTATTTCTAACCAGATTATGTCAGAGGTAAAGGAGTAAAGGGCATGATCCTAGAAACAGGAATGCTTTCAGCAAATAGACATTGGCAAATTTCTGATGGGCTCTTTTTTTTTCCAGGATAGCTGTCTATACTTTGCATTGCTCCTAAATGTATAGAATATTCCAGGACAAATTTTTAGTGGTACTTAAACAAAATGATAATGACTGGCATTGACATAATGTAGACCATAGGAAAGTATACAGTGGAATTGGCAGATAATGAAGTCCTCAACTTTATGGAGAGTTAATAGCTACAGACCTTCACATGTAATCTGGCTTTTAGCTTATTCCCAAAACTGGTTAATAAAGCTTTGTGGGAGGGGCTTCCATAACTGAGTGGATTTATTCAATCCTAACAAAACCAAACTCTAGAGCAGTTGGAGGGTGTTTTCTGGAGTGGCCAACTTAATCTCAGTGTTTGGCAATACAGTGAACTATTGTGCTAACAAGTTGTCGTGGGGCTTTAAGGTATCTCACTGCACTATGTCTAGTGTAAGGCTTGATGTTGGGTCGTGGTGTGGGCCTGGTTTTCAGGAATTGGGCTCAAACCTTGGTGAGCAGTTTGGAGATGACCATATTCTGTTTTAACATGAATCTATACCACGAAAAAAAAAAAAAAAAAAAAAGGTAAATGAACATACAGTAGATGATGGGAGAACTTTACTGAGCCNTGTTTTAACATGAATCTATACCATGAAAAAAAAAAAAAAAAAAAGGTAAATGAACACATACAGTAGATGATGGGAGAACTTTACTGAGCCGAGCCCTATAAAACTCATTTTGGATAAATCAGAACAGATACTCTGAGCCAGGCTGTGTTGTCCAACATCGATATCTGATCTTTTAAATGCGTTTCTGGAAGATAACGACAAAATGTCTACAAATATTCCTCCTAAACTTGTGAAAAGCCTTCCTTAAACAGTTTAAGCTATTATAGCCCGACTGTAGCATGGAAGGCAAGGTTTAAATTGATTAAAGCCTTGCATCTTTTGAAGTTTCTCTTAAAGCAAATTTTCCTGAATATAGTTCAAAGCAGTGGAGAAATCAAAGATAACGATCCTCACAGTCCAGTTGATTTGTTGAAGCACAGGTATGATGTCTCTACCATCAGCTTCAAGCCTAAGTAGATCCTCAAGGGCGCTAGTTTATTCTACCCGAGTCGGCCTGCTTGATTCTTTTGTGATTTTTGAAATATCAGGGCAACATATTTTGTTAGCTGTTTCGTTGGCTCTGTCCAGACTTCCATCTGCCTGATCTGCCCTCTGCTAAAAGCTGTAATCTTCTTCATCTCTGACACACTTCTTCAGTATTATTCTGCTGGAGGTAGTTCTTACTTTGGACATCCTTTTCTCTCTAACCTTGATTTTAAGTTTCTTCATTATACTGCTAAATAATTCCTTGTCTCCCTTCCTGAGGGTTACTTTTGCCTGTTTCCTTTAGTTCCTTTCAGATCTGAGTTTTATTAGCTTTTTTTAAAGGTTGATGCCCCTGAGAAAGATTCCTACACTAAGCAGAGAAAAACATTATACCAATCTACTGATGTTTCCACTGAGAAAAAATAGCAAGAAAAAGAAATGTAACAGAGCCATTGCAATAAGTTGCATCCTTGTGCTGCAAGAGTTTGGAGAGTTTGAATCAGAGTATTTGAGTTCCTGTCTTTAATATTTAGCATTTCTCTTAAGGTTGAACCTGAGCTGTATTATTTATCTACAGGAATTACAGACTTGGAGGAGGTTTCCCAGTTTCTGAAGGAGGGTATCATCATGAAAGACTTCAGCCACCCCAATGTTCTCTCTCTGCTGGGCATCTGCCTTCCACCTGAGGGCTCGCCATTGGTGGTCCTGCCCTACATGAAACATGGCGACCTTCGTAACTTCATCCGCGATGAAGGACATGTAAGCTGCAATGAAGACATTATAAAAAACTAACGCCTTGAATTTAGATGTTGATATTTTGGTTTGATGATTGACCAACTGGCAAATGTGATTGTCATCCAGAACCCAACAGTGAAGGACCTGATGGGCTTTGGGCTACAGGTGGCCAGGGGGATGGAATATCTTGCCAGTAAGAAGTTTGTCCACCGAGACCTGGCTGCCAGAAACTGCATGTAAGACACTTTAGTTACATGTTTCATCCATTGTTTCCTCCACAGTTACACCTAACTTCAAGGAGTCTAAATATTTGATACCAGAACTGTGTCACAGGTTGCACTGTTCTTAGGGAATATGACATTCTGGATCCAAACTACATACATTAGATATGAATACATTGTTAATTAATAAAACTAAGGATGCGCTAACTCTACTGTGCATGTCTTGCCTGTCAAATCACACCAACTGCCAATTTTTTCTAAAAAGCACATGGCATTTAGTGTTTTAGAAAATTACAGTGTAGTAGGATCACTGAATGATTTCAAATAACTTTTTTTAAGCAGTTTTGTCTCAATGATGGCTCCCATTTTGTTTCTTGTTATACATATGGAAGAAAAGGCGATGAAACTAAAAGTAACAACAAGAAAGTAACAACAAGAAAAGGCAACCAGATTAAATGAAACCATGCAAAAGTAACTAATTCTTTGTCCTGCCAGGTTGGATGAGAGCTACACAGTAAAGGTGGCAGACTTTGGTCTCGCTAGAGATGTTTACGACAAAGAGTATTACAGCGTCCACAACAAGAGCGGAGTCAAGCTGCCCGTTAAGTGGATGGCTCTTGAAAGTCTCCAAACCCACAAGTTCACCACCAAGTCAGACGTGGTGAGAAATCTGTATTTATTGTAATCTATTAAAAATGTAAAGGTCTTACATTTCTTGGGTAAAAGAACTGAACCTTTACGTAGAGAAACTTAGCATGTCATATAAATATGCTCTTTAAACCATGACTTTTTCCTCTGATTGTGACGTTTACGACAAATATTTGTTAATTGAGGAAACTTATCCTGCTGCGTTTTTTACAGTGGTCTTTTGGAGTTTTGCTCTGGGAACTAATGACACGTGGAGCCCCACCATACTCTGATGTGAACTCCTTTGACATCACGGTCTTCCTCCTGCAGGGGAGGAGACTGCTGCAGCCGGAGTTCTGCCCTGATGCTCTGTAAGTTTGCATAGATTACCAGCTTTTGTTCACATCATTCACAGCTTGTTTAGTCTGATTATAGGTATATTACATCTAAAATAAATGTTATATGGTTAAAATTTGAAAGTAGAGAAGTAGTAGGTAAACTAGTAAAGCTCTTGATGCAGATTTATTACACGTAGGCATTAAAGATGTAAAAACATGCAAACTTGAAAGGGTTTGCAAAACTGATCTACTAATTAGAATGTGTCCATTTAGCACAATTATGGAGAACATACGCTGCTCATTGCAGCAAGCACAATACTTTAAGGAGGATTTGCAAATGTAGTTACATACCACCCACAGTGCAATTTATAAAGTATAAAACGTAAGGTATGCAAAATTGTCTGTGATTATTGTGGTGAGAAAGAGGCTTGACAGACAAAATATACAGACAGAGAATATATTCAATGCATGTCAACATACTTGGTCTGTCAGCAATAAAAGGGACATATCAACTATCAAGTAGTTCTGTTTAACGGTAAAGCCCTTTGCAACGCGGCAGTTTTTTGCATCTGGATGCATCATTCCAGATGTTAGTACAGTCTCCCAGGGTACTGTTTCTGGTGTGCTGACCAGCAGCGCCAGATTGATTCTAGAGGTGTGGGGGCTGGGGGTGTTATGTTGCCTTGCACCTGTCAGCGCATACTTTTAATCACCACCAGTAGATCAAGGGGAAATGGAAACTGCAACAAGTCTGTCAGAGTCTGAAAACTGAAATAATTCATCTGACAAAATGCAACCCTGGGAGTTTATGAGGGTTTAATTTTTTTCCAAGGATCTCTGTGTTTTTCGGTGATAAAATGACATATTATTTCATTTTATAATGACATTAATAGCTTCTTTCAGTTTGTCACTATCTAAGACAGCTGTCAGTACAACTGTGGTGCCAAAAAAACCCCAATCTGCCGCGGATGTTTCTCCACATGTTTCTTTTTATTCAAAGTATGCTTCAGGAATGTTGATTACTAGTAAGTGAATTTCAGACAAACGTTTTGTCTTCTGTTTTTGTCTTGTAAATGGATAGATTTTTTTTTCTTTTGGAAAACTGGAAAACAAACCAAATCTTATTTTATCTTTTTTAATAAACTCAACACTGTAGTATCATCTTTAAGCTCGAGAAGAAAAGTAACCAAAACTCCTGCCTTTCAAACACATGTCCAATCTCTTCCCCTAAACTCTCAGGCAGTAACACATGTTTAAATAAGGTGCTCCATAACAGTTTTGTATCTGTTATCCATTACCCACGTAATCTCAACTGGTCAGATACTACAGCCCTAAAAATTACACATGCAATCTTTTATTTATGCAAACAATTTAGAGCTTGTTTTGGGGGGGTTTGGTAGATGGTTGTGTTTTTCAGACAATAAAAAACCTAATTCAGTGTTTTAGAATATATTCATATTTCTGAAAAGTCCAGACAGTTGATTTATTTTAAAAAAGGATGGCAAGCTACCAAATATAATTGCATAAGAGGCTGGTTGTTGACAGAGGGCTGTATCCAAGCACATTTATAGAACATAGGGCTTTAGCAAAATGATGCACTGGTAACACAGATAAAACCAACCTTCAATGGATTATTAAGCAAAATGTATTCAAGGGTGAGCTATTTAAAACATATCTGTTTAAACTATCCTTTCTTATTGATCCAGTTTCATATTTGAATTTTCTGAAACACATATTTAATTTTTTCATTCTTTAAGCCATAATCTTCTAGATCAGAGGTTCTCATCCTGTTCCTCAGGTACCCCTGCCCAGCGTGTTTTAGGTGTCCCCGTGCTTCCACACACCTGACTTAAATGAATCAGCCATCTGCAGCACTAGGTTGCTGCTGAGGAGTCCACATAATCATTTTAATCAGGTGTGCTGCAACAGAGAGGCTCCTAAAACCTACAGGGCAGTGCTACCTGAGGAACGGGATTGAGAACCTCTGATCTAGATTACAATAATAAAGAATCCTCTCTCTGAAAAAAAGTTAGAAAAATTGTTGAACTTCTTTATCAAAATTTTGGGGGATGATTTCTGGGGGGTGCGCAGTGGAGCAGTTGGTAACACTGCTGCCTTGCGGCAAGAGGGTTCTGGGTTTGAGTACCAGAGTCTTTCTGCATGAAGTTTGCATGTTCTCCTTGAGCATGCGTGGGTTCTCTCCGGGTACTCCGGCTTCCTCCCATAGTCCAAAAACCTGACTCTTAGGTTAATAAGCTTCTCTTAATTCTCCTTAGGTGTGAGTGGGTTTGTGAATGGTTGTTTGCCTCTGTGTTGCCCTGCGATAGACTGGCAATCTGTCTAGGGTGTACCCCGCCTCTCGCCTGTATACAGCTGGAGACAGAAAATGAATGGATGGAAATCTGCATAACATACTAAAAAGCTGTGTTTTCAGTGCCTAATGAAAACATATTGTGTTATCAAGAGAGAGCAGCTAGAAAGAAAAGCAGTAACAGTGATGACCTTTATAAACAATAGACATATAAAATATAAACATAGATACATTTTTTGTTTCAAATCTCAGTCAGCTAGAGACTAAAATGGATGGTACACCACATCAATCGCTAGGGTCAAAAAAAAGTCACCTTCCTTTTTTTACCACGTTTTAATAGAAATCATGATAAAGTATGCAAATTATTTTCTGTTTGCCCTGTATGTGATAGATCTTCGTTTCTGTGGTCTTTCCCACAGATCACCCATCAGTCATGCTGCTGCTGGCAGTTTTCACAACAGCTGGATATATTTTTACATCTATAATATATGACCTAGATGAAAAAGACAAGAAAGACATAAAACATGATTTTATTATCTTAATTTAAGACATCGCTTTTTTTAATGATTAAAGTAAACATCTTCCAGATGACCAAATTAGTAAATAGAATTTGTAATTTATGAGTAGAATAATGACGTCCAGATTGAGAAAGTTTTTATATGTCAGGCAATCATGCTTGTCTAATTCTAAGGCAGTCCTAATGGTATTAAACAAAGCTATCTTTTTGCTCCTTATTGAATTTCCATCTCTTTTTTAATAATAAATGTTTAGGTTGGATCTGTTTTACTTTTTCTAGATCTTGAATCAGACTAAAGTAGCCAAAATTCAAAACCCAAGGAAGACCAGCCGTACTTCACCTTACACCTTACTAGTTACTAGTATATTTTTACTCAAGTAGAAAAATAAAGTATTGTTATTGAGGGTTATGGTTCGGTTATTTCAAAGAGTTAATGAAGTTAGTGTAACTAAATGCATTTATATACTACAATTATATATATATATATATATATATAATTCAAGTAGTTCACTTAATTTAATGCAATTACTCTGCTTAAAGCGGCTTCATGTTTCTGTGTTTTTTTTATGAAGAACTTTTTTTTTTTGCCTCTGACATTGGATGCTTTCAAACTAGAAGTTGCTATTAATTTTTTTACATTTGTTGTGATGCGTAACCTTAGGAACCAGAGCAAGTTTTTTTTTTTTTTTTTACACCTGGGAGCAAATTTTTTAGATCTCTAAAGTTGAAATAACACTTGAGATACTTCAGCAAGTACCAGCTAACGTAAAAAAGAAGGCCCCAAAAGTTACAGAGCAGAAGCAAAGAGAAGTAAGAGGAGCAGGAAATCCAAGCCATTTCTTCCATCAATTATTGTGGACAATACTTTCTTGCAGGAAATCTCAGGAGGTTGGCTAGTAATGCTTGTGAACAACAGATGTTGTCATCCATGACATGTTACCATGAATATTCGAATGCAGCCCAGATAATAAACCCTTGGCATTATTTGCCCTTGTTGAGAAAGTCGAGATAACCTGGCAGAAGTAAAAACAGTAACTGAAGCTACAGTCCTCTTAACATAGCTGTAGATTTATTTATCGGTAAGTTTCTGAAATAATCATAATTTTATCATTCCTGTAAGAAGATTTCACCATAAAGCATGAATAAATGTTTGCCTGTGATCTTTTTTATATCGGTGTGTAAAAAGGATCCAGGTTTGGTTAATAGCAACATAGCTGCTGTCATGTATTGTAAACATCAATAATGTAAACAATGTCTCTCTGAGCTCCTGACAGCATATAGCCCTTTAGTTGAGCTTCAGTACCAAGCCGATTTAGTGGATTTGAACATTAGCTAAATATTTGTTCTTTAGTTCTACATCTGTGTTTTTTTTTTTGTTTTTTTTTTACTTCCAACTGAAAGTTTCACACATTGATCAAAAGTGTTGGATTCGATTTAGACATCCTTAAGTGCCTAAAGTGCAGGTTGGTCTTTCATGTAACAGATTTAGAAACTTATGGAAATAATAACACCAGTTACATCAGAGCTATATTGTAGAACCAAACCCCACAATAATCTGAACAACTGATAAGTTTATGACATATCGTGTCTGTGTGTGTGTGATATATTGGGAGGGGATGGGAGTGTTCGTCTGGAAGGGAGGCAGAGGCCCAAAAGTACACATGAGGAAGTGATATATTTCTACAAACATTCCTGTAATTCTTCCCTGCTGATGCTTCTCAGCAGACTTAAGGTAGCAACAGGAACCAGCATGTAATTTTAACTTGTATAATAACGCTGCAAACTCTGTCAGTTTTTAATGGTATGTTCTAGCAGCGCAAAGGAATATATATATATATATATATATATATATTTTTTTTTTTTTTTTTTTTTTTTTTTTTTTTATTTCTGTTGGAGTTTCGCCATGAATTATAATCACTGACTTTAGCTTTCAAGGCTGATGTACATGTCCTTTTTTTATGTCTCCTTTCTTGGAAGATGGACTCGTACTTTATCAGATAAAGTACTCATTTAGAGAGACTCCAGTAAAAATCCACTTTAATGTTCTGAAACAAATTTGAAATAAGAGCAGAGAGGACTGTGATTCTACTACAATTTTTAGTTTACAGACTGATAAACTACTAATAAGAATGCTATTAACCGAATTACCTTTTGTAAGAAAAGCAAAAAAAGAACTGTTATTGACTATCTATGTAGTTTTGTTATTATGTAGTGTTCAACACTGAGCAGGTTTATTGAACTTAAATCTAACAAGATGCTCTGTCAGCCCAACAGGATGGGTCACCTTGTCAAATCCTGGGCAAAACTCCACCAAAAACTCATCTTTTTTTTTCCCAAACAACATACCCCAGCATATCCCCAATGTAATGTTTTATAACTTCTAAAAAGCGTGTGCCACAAACCCAAAAAAAAAAATGTAAAAGTAAATAGTGATATTGTATGCCTGCACCAGAAAGACCAAAATCCAGTTTATTATTATAAAAAATAAGTCTATATAGTTCAAGCCTCCTTCCTAATAGTGTTTTGATAGTCCTTTTTGGGCCTAAATAGAACCTCCAGCACCGGGTGCAATAAGGTGATATAAACAGAGTTAGTGAAATCTACTGGCAGTACTTCTGAACCATCAGAAACCAGATGGGAGAGATTGCTGCAGCTACTAATTAAATCCTGACGATGCTGTAATGCCTCATGGTAAACCCAACAATTTGCAGTTTTCAAAGACCTTTTCCTATTTCAAGTTCCATTGATTTCTCCCCTCCCTGTTCTCTAGGAATAGCAGTACTATCACAGGAAATTGGGGTATAGTATAGTCATTTGGGGCAGAATGTTTACCAATTCCTAACACAGCTAATACACACAGGATTGACAACACAGACATTCAAGATATATTACATGTAAGATGTGTTTTCTAGGTGATTCTAGTCCTGTCATAATAGGGTAGCCTGGCCAGCTTGACTGAATTACACAGAGCGTGATTCCGTCTGGGAAACCGCTGTTGACTCTGGCCAAATCTGTTGGGACCAATCACAGCTCAGGAGGCGGTACTTTACAATCTGTCTTTCTGCTTTTCTGCTAGCATAGCAGCAAGATGGCGACTGCATTATGCCTGTTTTAATTATGCTCTTTTTGATGTCCTAAGTGAGATTGAGTTTACCTTAATTGGATTTTGACTCCCTGGTCTGAAATTTGGCAAATTAAGTACATTGTTTAAGATTAAAAGTCCTCCAAGTTGTGACGTGTGATGATTTTTCAATGAAATCAATTTTTTTGTGCATGGACTGGAATGAAAGGAGGGCAAAGTCTTTGTATGACAAGATGCTTTTTGTAACAACACATATATTATTCTCTCTATTTAAGTAGCCTGACTTCCTAAAATGATCAAAATAGGCAGGGTATGTTCATTGGAGCCACTCTCACCATTTGGCTTGATAAGCTTTGGGACTTTTCATCACCATAGAGTATCTGTGCTGAGAGAAAGATTATAAATGATCATTGGGTCATTTCTGTGACTTTGAGTACTTAGTTATATTGTATTTGTACGCAGGGTTCATGGTCAGGTTCTCCAATACAGGAGACAACTGGGTTCATAGATGCCAAAACCAGCAACGGTGATGATATTAGATACATAACTGTTAATGTCTATTAGTAACAGGAATACATTCATCCTGAACCTATTTGTTAAAGGAACAGTGTGTCAGATTTACCGCCACCTAGTGGTGCAATAAATTAATTACAATCGACCGTCTGGTGCCTCTCTGTTAAGCATGAGAACTACTACGGAAGGCATTCTGCAACATTCTACTTTCTGAATGGAAGGACACATTAACTTCTGTCACTTTTTAAATTCAGCTAACAATAAAAAGATGAAACATTACTCTGAAAGCACGACTGCCAGAAGCTGACACTGTTTAGCTGATCTGACTTCTGTGAAGAAGAACAGCAGCTGATAAATTTTGCATCAAACTCATCCAGTGGGCTAAGAAACAAACTAGCCGTCTCTGTTGGGGGACAGAAAAGCCCGCGATCTACATATCTAGCTATTAATTTGATATATCTGTGGTTTCAACTGACATTTAAAAATCATTAAGCAAATGCAAAATGTTTTTCCATGTGATCTATACTGTAATGTATTAGTACAGGGTAATGAATGCTTATAGCGCTTTTTCAGAGCTTATTATGTAGAACCCAGCAGCTGTGTGCTCTCTTGGTCCTGATGCCTGTCCTCTCCTCCCCTCAGCTACACGGTGATGATCGAATGCTGGCATCCAAAGCCCGAACGCCGACCCTCCTTCTCAGAGCTGGTTTCCCGCATCTCCGCCATCTTCTCCAGCTTCAGCGGGGAGCACTATGTCCTCCTTAACACCACCTACGTCAATATTGAGAAGATGACCCCCTACCCTTCGCTTCTCAGCTCCACGTCGTCTTCTTCGGGTTCCTCCTCTGAGCCCTCCACCTCCACGTCCCTGCCCTCCCACACGCCGCTCCTCTGTCGCGTGGAGCGCGATTGTTGCACCTGAAAGACTAAGGAAGAGTTGGCAATCGTCACTGGACAGTCAGACTCTGAGAGGGAGAAAGCAAGGAACTACTGTCTGTCGATGCTAAACACTGGACACTGCGTGCCGAGGACTCCACAGATCTCTTTGGGCCTTAGACTGTTTTCTCAGCGTAAATAGATTGTGATCCTTTGGAAATCTCAATCTGAAAAGAGCGTCTTCAAGAGATGACCTTCTTGACTCCCACCACAAACCTTGAGGAGCACAGTTGCTGTCAAAGAGTTTCAGCTGACAAAGCCTTCCTGGCAAAAAGCACATCTTACTTGCAGGTTTCTCCTCCCCTCGTGATGGAATGTGCTTGAAGAAAACAATGTCTTCACCTTCACTCTGTAATGTGAATAAGTAGGAAAGGGCCATGTACTGTTTTATAAACCCCTCTCTTCTTTATAAATTCAAATTGAGACAGTTTAGCCTGCTCTGGTGCATTATGGTGTTCCTGGTGGCTAAAGTCGGCCGCAGCAGCAAGTGTGAAGCCCCTGCTGCTGTGTGCATTTCACTGGATAATTTATTTGTATTCCGACCTTTAGACAGATAGCTTTCACATGGCTGAGGACAAAAAAAAAGCTTGTAAGTGTGGCCCACCCTTGTGAAACCCCCCAGATGGTTTCTAGGTCAGTTAATCATATATGAGCAAAAACTCGCACTTGAAAGAGCTTGGGTGATATGGAGGGAATTTTGTTCTATTATTTTTGCAATCAACATATTTTGTAAATAATTTTTTTTTTTATTCAATCCACAGACAAAAGTTTTAAAAACTTAATAATCAAAAACAGGTTTGACAGTAAGTTTGCTAGTTCTTAGATTTTATTTTGTTCCCACATTTTTTCATATTAATTGCAGGTTTTCTTCCTTTTTTTCTTCACAGATTCTATATTTTCTAACCGTATTTGTTCAAATTTCTCTTGTGTGTACAGGAGTTTTATAAATTGCATTAGTTTCTTCACTTTAAGCCCCATACAAACACTCGCTCTTGACCAACAAAAATGTTGTTGCTAACGTCCAGCAGACCAATAGGAAAGGCATCATGCTTCTTCACTCCAGAGGGATGCCCACCTGGAGTGAAAACTATAGCCCCATTTCCACTACCCTCTGAAAACCGATCCGAGTCCGGACCGAGCTTGGATCAGTTATCCGTGCCGAGCTTGATTCCTTACGACCTTTTACTGATCATGCCAGTATGGTTCCTCGCCTCCTAGTGACGATCTACGGCACTACTGCTATCTACAGGTAACCAAGCAAATCAATATGGCGGCGCCCGTAATATTCAGGAAGTTTGGTTATAATTGTGATGTTTTTGTTCTTTGCGGAGAGTCAGGCGAAGATGGCAGCCTTTGGTGAATTTTCTTGACAGAGTCGGCTTTTGGGAAGTGGATATGACAGACGATAGTCTAATCACGGCTTACAGACGCACAATGACAGACCCTGAAGTTCTTTACTAAAACCCAAGCAGAATCATCACTGGAAATCGTATGGCACGGTTGAGAAGCTAGTATTTTTATGAATGTCTGAAATTTCATGATTACGTAAGGCTGACTAGATAACGCGGTCTGCTCATGCGCTCGTTGTTATCGGAGAACCGCTCCAGAACTGAACCACACCGAGGCCCTACTGATGAACTAGTTCCAGTTTAGTACGGTTCGGTTCAGTTTTGCGTGCCATTTACACTCAATAGTTATCTCTGTTACTGTGCTTGGGCCGATCTCGGCACGGTATCAAAAAGGTAGTGTAAATGGGGCTAATGTCACCTGGAAAATGCACTTTGAAAAAAAATGGAATTGGCAAAATTTATTCTAAAAAGAGGAATTTGAAAATAAAGTTTGAAAAAATAAAATATAAAAATAATGAAATACTTAAAAAAACAAGACTTAAAAAAAATACCTTATTTTAAGTGTAACTTCTGGTTCTTTTTTTTAGTTATTTACATTTACAAAGTGTGTTTTTGGTTTGCAACAATACTGGGACCAAATTCCCTCCATAGAACCCTCTAAGGGAACAGAGATACAGCACAATAGAACCAAGTCCTGAGTTTTAGTTGTTTGTTTCTTTGTGACAGGTACACTCAACACACTACATGTTACGTTTGAATGAGGTCTCCAGTTTCCAACAACCTAATAATTCAAACTTGTAATCTACAAATTATTCCTAAACCCTTTCTTCCAGGAAGGAGCTCCTGTTTTAAGGATTTATGGTTCCTTCTTGTTCCTGTGTGTTGCAGACGTATCAATGCCTATTGAATTATTTCACATTCTGTCGCGTTAGAGCTGCATCACACCAAGCTTTAACCCGCCTACAGTAGATCTTGGTCTGACATCCTTTGACCGGATCCCTCTAATACACTCATGTTTGGGTCACTGTCCTGTTTAAAGGTGAACCCTAACCCCAGTATCAAGTGTTTTACAGCCTCTGAAAGCAATTTTTCCCATCAGCTATGGCCGGCTTCCATCTCAGTGTGGAAGAAAAACGTCCCCACAGCGTGATCATGTTTCCCCACAGGGACTGTGTCTACTGGTTGATGTTTAGGGTTAATTTCCCTTCACTCTGCATTTGGCATGTAGGTTAAAAAGTTGCTTTTTTGCCACCTCTGTCCCCTACTTGGATACATCATTATTTTCCTTTGTGGTATTCTGAAAGCCAGATTTACGGAGTGCATAGCTAGCAGTTGTCCTCAGTGTCCCATCAACAGGTTTATCTACCTAAGCTGTGGATCTTGGCAGCTCCTCCGAAGTTATCTGGGACCTTTAGGGCACCTATGTGAGTTTATTGTCAGTTTAATTGAAAAAACACACCTTTCTACAGTTTCCTTTCCAAACCCTCCTTATACTCAGAAGATCATTTTAAAGTATGTTTTTTGAGATGTTTTAAGTTGGGTTATTGTTTAAAATCTTACCTTTGCTTCAAATGTTTCCGCAAGATTATCCCTGACTTGTCCGTTGTGTATATTTGTCTTCATGACGCTCCAACAAAACTCTAAAGCCTTCATAGAACAGCTGAGATTATGATGACATTCAATGAAGTGAAGTTGGACTATCCAAAAAGATAACCAAACCTTCTTTTAAAGGCAATTGGTTGTGCTGGGTTTTGTTTGAGGGCATCAGTGTAAATTGGACCCAATTTGAATACCTGTGTAAATGTTTGAGATTTCATGCGTAAAGCTGTTTTTTTTTTAAATAGTCATGCATTATTTTCATACTAGTTGAGAAATTTTTCTATTTTGGATTTTAGCAAACAATTCTGATAGAAAACATTGAGCTTTGTTATTAAAATAGAAAAAAAAAAGAAAAATTCAGGGGTTATGAATACTCTTGTTAAGCACTACTCAAAGGAGGTTTGCTGTAGTTTGGTTTAATCATGAACTGACATAAGCTTGTAAACCACTTTTGTGATAATTTTAATTTTTTGCTTCATGTAGCATGTTTTTTTTCCAATGTAGGAACGGCTGATGGCGTGTTTGGCCGTTCGTGGACAGGAATGAATGTTTGCTCTGATGAGAAAAAAAAAATGCTGTACTATATTTTATATCACTGATGAGCCTCGTCATTTAAAAAAAAAACGTTCCAGTGTCACATGATGATCCACTTGATCAAACATTTTTTTTTTCTTTTGTTTATTTTAAGACAAATCACTGCCATTTTGTAAATAGAAAATCGACTGATACGGTCAGTGTGCTTGATGGAAGTCTAGCCATTTTTACCGTATTATGGGTAAAGAGTTGAATGGTGGTAGAAAAAAATAATCCCACCTCTCATTGCGGAAAGACTGCTGTCTCTTTGATGATGTCGGTCGAAGTGTAACACTGATTGTTGTAAAGTATGTGTGTATCTCTTTGTTTTGTATATAAAAAGTCTTGAAGGTACATGTTCCTCCATGATGTATAATGAACCTTGTAAGCATAATAAAGCTATGATTCAAATAATGTGTATTTTCCTAGTCTTTCATGTTAAACATGCTGCAAAAACATAAACATGCAGCAAATACAAAAAGTACTGCAAACTTAAGAATTAGACTAACACACAAAACACGAAAAGGAAAAACGCTGCGAAAAAGAGATGCTGCAATCACTGAAAATAGGAGCAAAATGTAAAAGGAACTGCAAATACAAACCTGCTGCATGCAAATAAATTCTGCAAGCTGCAATACTGAAGCAGCTGTTATGCAATTAAATGCTGTTGTAACTTAATATAACTTATCAAAAAACTTTTGATTAATTAACATGTTGTTCTGTGAAAGCCCAATGGCTGTGTGTTAGAACATCAGATGCAAGTGTTATTCGAGCATATATAATTATCAAACAGTCCACCTTGCGCATATATAGATTTAATTCATTCGTAAAACATTCATTCAGAACATAAGAATTTAGTAAGAAGAATCAAGTCATATTTTAGTAAAAACTCTTGATCAAATTAGTGAAACTCAACTAATTTGCTACTATGTACACTAAGAAAAAGAAACAGCAATGGTTTAAAACCATAATCAATAAAGTGATACAATAACGTCACAACTCTGGGCCGGATTTATCAAGATCCAATTTTGCGTGCGGTAATTTTCGCTTGCAAAGTGGAATTTTGCGCGAGGGGCTGAACCATGGTTTGCGGGTGATTTAACAAGAGCGATTGCGTAACTGGTGGCAGGTGCAAAACTGTTGGAGAC